TATTCAAATAAGTTATGCTAATGAGTTATGCTAATGAGCTCTTGCACCTCTTTTTCTACGAAATGACCGCTGGTTCTCCCCTCACCTGAATGGCCCAGGCTAGCCGGACCTCATAAGACCTTATGAAGTCAAGCAGGGTCAGCCCTGGATAAGTACTTGGATGGGAGACCACCAAGCAAGTCCAGAGTTGCTCTGTAGATGCAGCAGGCAATGGCAAACCACCTCTGCTCATCTTGTGCCATGAAAACCCCGCAGCAGCAGGGGTCCTCGATGCCATCAACACCTTCCCCTGGCGCCCCATCACGTGTTTTTAGGAAGCAGGTGGAGCTTTTGCCCAGCAGGACTTCTGATGAGCCATTTGAGATCTGGCGTGGCCGTGAGCATTTTTAGAAACACGGCTCCGGCTGTAACTGCCACCACAAACACGAGGATCTCGACTGAAGGACTGGTAAGCTGTGCTTATGCGAGAAAATATTTCCAAACACAATGTTTTGTTTTAGAAGGCATCCCGTTAAACAGAGTTTCTGCCTGAGAATGACTATGAGAGTTCTGCAAAACCTCGCTTCCTCCCATTTTGGGGTTGGCTCCACCTCCTATGGCAGTAGGGTTGCCAGGTATGGGTTGGAAAATACCTGGAGACTCTGGGGGTGGATCCAGAAGAGGGCGGGGTTTGGGGAGGGGCCTCAGCATGGGACAATGCCACAGAGTCCACCCTTCAAAGCAGCCATTTTCTTCAGGGGAGCTGATCTCGGTCCAGTGGGGATCAGTTGTAAAAGCGGGAGATCTCCAGGCCCCACCTGGAGGCTGGCAACCCTATATGGCAGCCATTTTGCCATCGTGCCCACCACCTTGTATAAGAATTGCAGTGGTGCCCACAGGCTCAAAAAGGCTGAGGGCCCCTGCCACATGGGGTAGCCATAAGTCATGCTGTGACTTGACCGCTCTCTCCACCTCCGCCATGTTTGTCTGCTCTCTGCTTTTCAGGGGACCTGTGTATTCCAGATAGGCCTGGTACCGAGACTTCCGGTTGATGGCGGCACGCTCACTGACTCACCTCCCGGGGGTGTCTCTGTGCTCCGGCGGAGGGAGGGCGTGAGCAGGCTTGTTAACCCCCCCAGGGGCCTGGCGAAGGGACCCTGGCCAAGGAGCTCTGAGGGGGTAGCCTCTTCGATGGCTGAATGCCAGAGAATCGAGGCTCTCCCTTTCTCCAGTGGTTCGTCCAGCCGAGAGACCGAATGATACAAGTGAAGTAACCGGGTCAAGCGCAGGAGATCGGGCGTGAGAAATGATGAAGGAAGTGGGGTCGGAAGACCAATTATGAATGTGAGTCAACTGAGAAACGAATTTTAAAAGAAAAGACGCTCCCTACCCTACGCGGCGGAACGGCAGAAGCGAGCGGGGGAGGGATGCCTCCTATGCGCATAAATCATTGTGTGAAGGGGGGGAGTGGAAGAATAAACGTGCGATTGCCCAGAAGTACTCACCCATTCGAGCTATACAGTTAAGCACATATTCAGAGACTTTAAAATTTTTTCGCGAAAGTAAATAAACAGGGGAAAGATGGCGGGGAAGAGGGACAGAGACAAAGAGAAATTTTTACAAATGAAACCAGAGTCCCCGCAGCTGGAAATGACCAGTGAGACGACGAAGGCGACGCCCTCTACTGGAACAGCTAAATGCCTTTAAAGAGCAGATGTCTGTGGTAACAGCGAATATTACTGCGCAACAAAATCAGCTGTCAGTTGTAACAACAAGCATCACTGCTCAACAAACGCAAATAACGGACTTGATCCAAGTAATGAAGCAGGATGCTGAGAAAGTAAAGGAAATGGCTGAGACAATGCAGAAAGTGAGGAAGAAAGTGCAAAAATTGGAAAAGAAAACTGTTTCTTTGGAAGATCAGATGCTGCAAGTGCAAATGGATAAGGCCAACGTGGTCCTGCACTTCCAAGGGGTGCCAGAGAATAGAGGAGAGAATCTTAAAGAACTTATGAGTGAGCTACTCGC